TGAGCCCCGGCTTAGCATGGCCTGGTGGCAAGCAGAAGTGGCTTTTGCTTGTCATACAGGGTTTTTTAATTTGCCGTTTAGATCCCTTTCTGTAAAGGATTGAGGTACATGAGCCTGGGAAGCAGGCGCCTAGCTCACTTGATCGTGGCTGCAAGTAACACCTGACAGGATGTTTGTTAGATTACAGAAATTTTCAGAAGTAAATTTATTCAAGGTCAAGGGGTTAAAACAAAGCATGCCTTTCACGCTGGGCTGACCTGCATAACATGAAAGCTTTCATGTCCTGCCCCAGTGGTCTCTTGTCTCTTCTATGATCGTACCTGACTTGTGTTGAGTCTTGTTGTCCAAGATGCGCGGGCATGACTGGAAAAGGCCGGGCCCAAAAGGGAATGCCTCAGCTCAGCCTCTCATGGTCATATTTGAGCACCAGGAGAACATGGTCCTATGGCAGGTGCTGGTTTCACTGCGGAAAGCCTCGGTTAGGCAATGAGATGGCCTCTGATGATGTTACCAACAGTGTTGGCTAGCTTTGTATCAAAGAGAAAGAGGTACTTGAAGCAGCACAGGATCATCACCAGGTTTGTCTGATTCAGATGTGAGGAAATTATTCTCCGATTTAAAAGGAAATCTCATTTCCTCTGAGAAACACCTAGGTCAAAATATCTCCTGCATTTTCTTACTGCTGCTGATTACTGCTGACAGAATGATACTCTTCAGAAAAGTGGCTTGTCCTTGGCTCCTCAGGGTTTACTCCCTTAGTGGCTAGCCTGTGGCTCACAGCTTTGTAACAATGCAAAACCGCTCTTCACTCAACCTGGAGAGAAAGATTCCCTGATTAAGAGGTGTCCTAGAAAGACAGAGAGTATTTGCTCAGGGTATAGTTTATAGCCCCAGCATCTGAAACACTTCAGGAGAAGCTAAAAGAGGTAAAGATGAAAGGCAGTGTTACCAGTGTTGAAAACTTCAGATTTTTTTTTTTCCCCCCTGCTTTTCAGAACATGCTAAAAGGAGAAACCCGTTATTTATAATGTCACAAAGCAAAGTGACAATTTCTTTTGTTGAGCTGCTGTTCTGACAGATTGTACTGAAAAGTGCCCTTTATATGAAAAACATTTTTCATGGAAAACAAACACTCAAAGTATGTGCAAAATATTTTATGCCCTCTTATATCATTAAATTTAAGTGTCAGATCTTTTGGCAGCTCTTCAATAACAATGAGGAAGCTTTTTTGGAATTTTTCTGAGTTCTTCAAAATGAGAACTTCAGAGTTTTTACACTGACGCTTTTTAATCAGCTAAAAGCTGGCTTTCAATAAAGTTTTTGCATTTGGAAATAATTTTATCTTTCCAACACAAACATTCCTGTCCAAATTGCACCCTTTGCAAACATATGCTCGAGAAGTTCTAAGGTGAAAAGTGTGATGGTTATAAGAGAAGAGACACTGAATAGCATTTACTAGTTGTTTACTGTCATTTTAGCAGCATCTCTTCTTAGGGCTCATTACCTCATATATTCACTCACTGCATGTCTAGATATTTATCAGAATATCCTAGCTGTCATTAGTAAACTTTTTTCCAACCATCTGCTGTAGGGAGAGGCAACTCTGCTAGAGTCATTTGGGATTCTACATTTTACCCAGCGATGCTGTACCCGTGAGACCATCCATTCTCCTCTATTTCAGGAACTGCCTCGATTCTTATTTTCTCTTTAGATTTGGAGCAGGATCACATCATCCTTTTGCTGTGTTTTACTTTAAACCAAAGAAAGCAATGCTGAAATGGTAATTATTTGGTAGATGTGAGAACATGCTATCGAAGGGCTAACTCTAGTTACCACTTTATTTTCTAGGTCACCTTTCCAGAGAAATCCCCCATGCAGTGGGATGGCAAAGTTAATGCTGGTTTTACTGAAGGCAACAGTAGCTGGTTACCTGTTAACTCTGACTACCAAAGTGTAAATGTTGAGGTAAGTATTTATATATGTGACAAACTAAAGGTCTAAAAATATTTTAAAGTATGTATTTTGCTCTGGCTTCTTTTACTTAGTAGGAAATTGCAGTAAGAACAAACTCAAGGGAAAAAAAAAGCACTTGAATCCCCACAAATTTTATTAGAAAAGGAAATCCTTGCACCAGCAAGGAGCCTACTTCATTTATATTCATTTAAGCAGAGCAACTGCATTTATGATGTATGTAGATGTAGCAATTTGGCTCTTTAACATCCTCTTAACTATTTTAAGATTAAAATCAAATTGGGTATTTCCCCCCCCCCCCCCTTTTTATTTCTCTGGAAAGCACTGGTCTTGTAACAGGAACTTAACACAGATCTTCTCTAACATAAGTAGAGGAGTGAATCGGATGGATTTTGCTGATTCACAGTGCTGACCAGAATTGAAGACAGAAAACAATAAATGTAAGGCAGGAAAAATATTAAACACAAAACAAACCCCGTGACTTCAGTAGATTAAACTCAATTAAAAAAAGTTCAGTATCAAGCTCTGAATGGCTGTGGCTTTCTCCTGAATAAACAGTGTAAACAGTGTACTGTAAGGGCATGGTGGGAGGAAGAAATAGTGTTGGTGTTGGGGAAATTCTGTCATGCCTAATAATCTTTGTCTCTGTCATTCTACAAATGCCAGGGAAGTGTGTGAAAAAAAGCAGATTTTCAGTGGAATTTGCAGAGATAATTGCCAAAACAGAATTCCAGTAGGTGTGTTCTCAGCAGACAGTGTGAGAGGCAAGTAGTGTTTCCTACATTCAGTGCAAAGCAATGACCCTGTCGATGCTGCCTGTTGCAGAGCCAGATGACCTGGTCCAACTCAACCCTGAATTTGTACAGAGAGCTAACTTTACTTCGCAACACTGAGCTCCCCATGCATCGGGGGTGGATGTGCTACATCTGGAATGACAGTGATGTTTTTGTGTATGTGAGGGAATTGGATGGGTTAGACAGAGTCTTTATGATGGTTCTCAATTTTGGGCAGGAATCGACTATAGACCTGAAAGCTGTTGTTCCTAACCTTCCTTCTGAAGCTATTATAAGACTAAGTACTAATTTTAGCAATGCTGGTAAAGCTGTCAATACCAAACTAATTAAAACTGAAATGGGAGAAGGCCTGGTCCTCGAATATAAAACAGCAAAGCCTGTTCATACTACAGAAGCTTTCCAAGGAAATTGTTTTGTGGCAGAAAAAGCTTGTTATTCCAGTGCCTTCAATTTGCTCTACGTGAACTGTTAAGTGCAGGAACAGAATAACCAAGCTTTCATGTCCATTTAGAAAATGCTGGTTTCAGGGAAATGCGAACAGTTTTCATTTGTCTTTGGCTTTTAAAACTTTGAGTACAAAATAAACATCCTGAAAAATAAACCAGATTGTTGTTGTCTTGCATCTGTATTGGTGATGGAAAAAGTACGGTCTATATTCCCCTCCTTAAAGCCTGCAAAGCAGAAAAGTAAACCTGTCCTAAAATACTGCCCTGTTTAAGTGTGTGTATTTTTGCGAAGAAAGAGAAGTTGCTGGTCTTTAAGGGCTCCTGTGGCAGTTCATAGTAACTTTTAAAGTAGATCTGTAAAACTTACTCTAAAGGGGTGGTCTTGTATTTGCTAAAATAGGTAAAAGCAAGACTAATATATAAAGTCATGATGGCTTACCTCTTCTCTCAACTCTAACAGCTCTGATTATCCTCAAAGTTAGTAAGAACAAAATACAGCTAACATCTCATTCTACATCCAGGACTGCATTTCCAGTTGATTTTCTACCCCATGCTGTTAGAATACATGGGCGTTCTCTTCTTTTTCTACCCCGGGGTTGAGATGAGGTGCACATACGTTAGTGCAGAGTGAGGCACTGAAGCAGCTGTGCTGAAGGTCACCCTTGTTCACAAGCTTTGATTTGCACTCGGTGCACCTACAGGGGCTCACGTGGCACAGCGGAAGGGTGAGCATCTGACTTGGTGCCCTCTGGTTTGGACACAGGGGTGACCTGGGGAACTCCATTTTGGTTTGAGGAGCTTATGGCCACTTACTGCATTTTCCCTGGCCCTTGGTGTGCAGTATGCACCTAGCTCAACAAGCAATGTGGAGTTTTTGTGCCCTGCTCAGAGGTCAGCTAAGCTACGACTCAGGCTGCTTTGGCGGGGGCACGCTCTTTGTTTTATCCTCCAGAGAGACTCTGGTATTGCCTTCGGGGGACATTCATTTCGTCTTCTGGAGGGACTTTGGCACCTCCTTTTTAAGATGACCATGCTAATTAAGGTAACTGCAAGACTTTGAATCAGTTCTGATGAAAGAGTTCTGCTAAAATTTCTGTTCTTGAGTCCATTTCTTTGGGGTTTGTTCAACCCCACCACAGGATCAGTGCACTGTTGCTGCTGTGTAGCTAGGAAGGGAACAGTCATCACCTACATATGGGAACTAGTTTTAGAAGACCCTAGCAAGACTTAAAAATCAAATACTACTTGTAGTTGTGTACACAGTACTTCTTTGTATTTGTACACATGGAATTCTACTGCCCTGTGTAACGTGTGGCCCTGGAGGAGCGGCCTGGGACGGGAGAGGCTGCCTGTACAATGCACACGTACTCCACACGTTGGCTTTACACGCCCACCGCCGTGCTCAGCTCCACTCGTGCTGTGCCACGCTGCTGGCTTATGTGGACAGAGCTGCACTGAACAAACTGAGTAATGCAGGCGGCTACTTCTGTACTACTTGGCAGGGGAGAAATTCAGCTCTTAGTTTGTATGTTGATAAGCCACTGCCACAATCAACTTTGGTTTTGAGTTCCTTGTCTGCTTATGCCCATAAAGCAGGGATCCAAGAGAGATCCTCTGGAGAAGACTGACTTTTCACGTAAGTAAAAATCTGACCCAAAGTTCTTCAGGTGTTCAGTGTGTTTATTAGCTATTTGCAGGACTTGCTGTGACACTGGAGATGGCGTACTTCCTCAAGTTCTTTCTTCAGAAAAGCAAGGTGTCTTGCAACCTAAAATAATGAAAACATTTTATTACAAAATAGAGAAATTCTTTGCACTATTCCTTCAGGTTCTTGTACAGCTATTTTAATCATCTTCCTTTCCCATACTAATGCTAAGCAATACCTTCCCCAAAGACAGAATGAGGCTTTTCCTTAAAGAATTAGTTTTGGGAATAACGGACATAACAACCGAGTAACATTTGGTAGGATTTGTTAAAATTAACAGTAATACAATTTGCATTCAACCATGATAGTCTGAGACATCAGTAACAATGTCAGCTCTTGCTGCTATGTTGCTTTCAACATGCACGCTTGTAGAAAGTGTAAAGTCTTGAAACTTAATTGTAGTAGCATTCTTTGATAGTACAGATCGGGCATTTCAGAAGGTAAAGGTCAAACCCATCATATGTATTTTACTCATGACAAAGATGGATGTAAATAGCCAGCATGACAATTTTAAGCACTTAATACTCTACAGTGCAAGACTTTTCCTGCTGGAACCATGTTTTGCACAACTTAAAACCTTTCATTCAAAGCTCTCAGCACATTATAGTGGGAGTTCAACACTATTTTGAGGCTTAAGGCACAATGAGGTTCAATAATCCGGCTCTATCACTGGCTCTTTTATATCCATAAAATATATATTGATGAATATATATAATTATGTGTGTGTGTGTATATATATATACACGTATAAAACCAGCAGTTGTTCTTGCAATATATATATATAGCAAGAACAATCTTAATTCCAGCAGGATTTTTTTTTGATACTTCAAACATACATTCAAGGACTGCATGAACTCCTGAGGTTGCAGCATCGATCGAGGGGACACCTCCCTCCAACCTGTTTCGGATGGGTGCAGTAAGGGAACGAACCTCCTTCAGTGAATCCTCCCACGATGAATCACAATGACTGCCATTTGCCCGGATGTCTAAGATGATATTAGGGATCTGATTTCCTGGAACAATGAAGCTAGCAATCACTTGACATTGAAGGAACAAGGAAAAAGTGTGGATGTGAGTTGTTTAGGGATAGGTAACCCTGCCTTCTGTCCTGACAGAATTTCTGTTGCTCCTTAACTAAAAAAGAGAATCATATAGGGGCTTGCTGGATGAACTGTTTGTATTTCTTTTAACTACATATTTTAAAGTTGTTTATATGTACAATGTGTTTGTTCTCTCTCTCGGTCTTTTTGGAAAGATGTGCTTTTTTCTTTCTAAGCAAAGACTGCAACAGCAGTGGCAGCATCTGCTATCCTTTCTCAATCATTGCAGTTCTGCTGCTTGCAGAGAAGGGGCATAATGAAATTTAGAAAAGCTAATTCAAGAGCTCTCTTGGTACTGATGGTAAAAGCCTCTCCCCAGATGAGATGGTACTAGAAAATAGTAAGGCTGGAATGTACTGTTTGCTGGGAACAGTCCCAAAGCTAGTGTTAAGTTTCCAGCATAAAAGTGTCTATGCCTTGGCACTGTTGTCATTCTAACTTGGACTAACAAACACCTGCAATTTTTGCAAAGTGGGAAAAGTAGGTTTTTGCAAAGCAAGAGAAATAAGATTTTTATCCGTTTGTTGTTGGGAACTGCGGTCTGATGGTACCAGCAGCTGGACCAGATGGTGCGGGTTCATCTCGCACTGTCCAACAGCCACCACGTGGCGAGGCCGAGGAAGGAGCGAGCCCCACTCCTGTTCATCTGTTTCTTTTCATCTCAGAGGATTTCTTGAGCCTGCTGTGGTTTGTCACTATTAATATTTAACACGTAAGTTTGACTATTTTCAGTCAGGTCTACAATACGGAGACACCTGGTCCCTCTTAAGGCTCTGGAGAGTGCATCTTAGAAGCTGAGGTTTATCTGTCTGTCAGTATGGCTGCACATCTCATCCCTGCAGATAACAAATTCCTTTAGAGCTTTAGATACTGGATTGTACCGTACAAATGAATGCATCTAAGGAGGAGTCAATCCCTGTGGTGTTTAACTACATGACTACTAATATTCTGGTTTGGTTAACTTCATGTATCTGTAATATTCTTATCTTTACCGTTCTCACTTGTCCTGCTGGCATGATCTAGTGCAGCCTTTCTAAGTTTCTGAACATACTGTAAAACTCCTATTAGTGGTATCCGTTGATCCTTTTCATACGCCGTGATAAAAACTGAAGGGTAACACTGAGATTAAAAAAGAAAACCAGTTAAGTACCTGACAACTAATTTTTCTCATAAAGTGAGTAACAAATTTTTCTTTCTTATTGTATTACTTATTATGGTTTATCTAAAACCACATCAATTGTATAATTACCTGCTCTTAAAAAAAACACTTTTATCACTCTAACTCCAAAACAGTATTTTGGTCAATTTTGGCCAATTGAAAAATTACTTCATATTAGGGGATCATCTACTTGCAAAAGGTAATAAAAAACATTCTCTCCCCACTGGTAAAGGTCTGATACATGTCTACTTGCTGATGATTACAAAGAAAGGGGAGTAAAAAATCATGGAATGCTTCACCTTAGAATGGTAGTTGAGGTTTCCTTTGCAGTCTTTCTAGACATAAAAAATAGTTGGGTTTACATCGTAAGATTTTAATTAATGAGGCTATGCAACAGAGCTAAGACATTACTTCAAATAAAGAAAGATTTCCTCTCCTGTGACAGTGTCAAAGCTATAGCTCCTTTTCTGTTTCACTGTTTGCCTTGGAAAAGGGAGGCAATCACTGGAAAATACCTCTTTCCTCCTGTGACAAACAGCAAAACCCAGTAGAACAAAAAAAAAAAAAAACCTCACAAGAGGTGAAGGTATTTTAAATGTTGAGGTTGGTTATACCATAGTATAATCGATTACTACCTGGCACTCCTGTAACAAAAACAATTTTTGAAATCTACAGATAATTTCGGAAAATGTGCTTGGTTAATTTTAGTAGTCACGTATGACTCCAAACATTGCTAAGATCACTACTGAAATAATTTATATTTGTATTGATGATTAATTTTAACACAAAGCAGCAACTAAGTTCTAAAATAGACTTTTTTTTTTTTTAATTTATCTGCTTTTTGTTACAAAGTGCTACATTTTATTACTGTAGTATTCCACACAAAGCATAGTTTTACCTGTGTCTTAATATTCTGGTATGGACAATAGCTTTTGATATACTTCATGCATTTTTCATCTGCTAATGGATTTCCCCATTCTTCCTGTTCTTCAATTGTCAGTGGGAGATGGGTTTTCATCATTGTATTTAGAACATCTACGAAAGGAGCCTTAGAAGTTGTTATTAATAAAAAAAAAAAATAGTTGGTAAATAGAACAGAGGACCTCACATGCCTAGGTCAAGGCTTTTTCAAACAAATGATGAAAGTGAATTCTGAATTGGAATGTTTCTAGTTCCGAAACTGATAGAATGAAACAGAAAATACAGTTTAACATCATAATCTATAAAAGGTCTGCAGCACCTCACCTGTAAAACCATGGCTCTGATCAGTTCTGGATCAGTGTTGCACAGGGCTCCTGCAAGAACTCCTCCCGCGCTGGCAGCTGCTAGTGCTGTGTATTTTGGCTGAGAAAATCCTAGTTCGTGCAGCAGCATGATGCAAGCCTTAAGGTCATGGAGACCTTTGAGTTTATTATGCTGACATCCATCTTTGTGCCAGCTCAGGCCTAGCTCTCCTCCACCCCTGAAATTTGAAACAATTCAAATTGGAGTCTTTTTGGAAAACATTGCACGGCAAAGCTTCAGATAATGAAAGGGCAGCAGGAGCAGCAGAACTGTAGTGCCATAGTTTGCCTTCCTGGTTCATGATTCTCTGTTCTTGTCTTTACCCTCCTTTGTGGCTAAAATGCACAACAAGCAAAACAAAAGAAAAATCTGTGCATGATGGTTGGTGAAAATCCTAGCTGCATAAGGGCACTCTGTGTGCTTGTGTCCTGGAACTCACAGGAAAAGGACCAGTATAGGAAGTGACACTGTCATTGTAGGCAATACAAAACCAGACATTTAATACCCTCTTTTTATACAGGAAGCTATTAAAATAACTAAAACATTTTCAATACTTCTATCCCTAACACTAGCATTTATCAAAACCAGTAAAATTGTATTTCTTAGCTTCACACCGAGACTCAGGATTTGTCTTCTGTGTAGATTAAATTTTCAGACTGTTAGAAAGTTGGGGGTTTTTTGATAGTTTCTGAATTTCAAATACTACTTGAAATGTTGTGTTTTGTAATACAGAATTCCTAAATTTAATTATATTTCTTTCTATGCAACCACCATTTTGGTTTTAAGCCAGCTGAAGTTTCCTTACTCAGGTTTCAAGTTTAAAACACTGATGAGTCTGCCACAATTCTTTATCTTTGGATGAAGAATCCATCTTCATCTATGACTGACTTGCATCTTTAGATACTTAGCGGGTTGGGAGGAAGAACAGCACAATGCTTGCCACTGCATATAGCAGACTGACTATATCTGTATGCTGAATTTGTTTTGGAACTGGTATTTCAAACAATTGCTCATTCTCCACCTTCCTTTCCCTCCCAAGAGTGATTCTTTTGTTATCACCTTTACCTACTGGATTATTATCTCAATGAAAATGTGAAGCCTATTGTACATAGTCGCTTTAAAGAACTTAGAGATCTGTAGCTAAACGGGAGACAGAGGATTTAGCCAATAAAAGAACAAGCAATGCAGGTTAAATGCATAGTTGTCGCTGTAGAAGGCAAATGGCTTTCAGAAGACACAGCCTGAACATTAGTACACAATGCCCTCAGAAAGAGAGGGAGGTATCATGTCATTGCAATTTGAGCATGTTATCAAAATTTTTCTTGGGCAAAGATAAGACCAGATATAATGAGACTTCCAAAGATCAAAAGTTACATACAACCATCCTGTTGCTTTAAGAAACCTAAATGCAGTATGTAGTCTTGAAAGTATAATTTTTTTTCATAGGGTAAATTTTTTTAAAAAAACTACTTTTAAGAAAGATCTAAAAATAGATGGAAAGGAAAAGCATGAAGAATTAAGTATAGCTACATGAAAAAACTATTTCTGTAACTCTTCAGTTGCTTATCAAGAAGTATTGGTATATCCCACAGATTAAAATCTTAATTCCATTTTATTTGACTTACCTAACATGGCAATATGCTAATATCCAACCCTCTTCAATTAACATCAGCTTCTCTTCTTTAAAGCTCATGTTCAAATCTATGCCATAAGCTCCATATACATGAACTAGAAGTGGTTTCCTGTGTAGCTCTTTAGAATTCGCATTATGAAAAACTGTAATTGGCACCAAAGTTTCATCCTGGAAATGAAGGAGTATTTTACAATAAAGGACATTTCAGAAATCTCAATGATACATGGCAATGAAAACTTCAATTATTTATTTTAAAATGTGTTTTTTTGATTACAGTAATTTTTTTTCACTTGGAATGTACAAAGCACTCTTGAAAAATAAAGCGAGACTGAACCTCTGCTGTGTAGGCTTATGGATACAGAGTATGAAATTCATTTAAGTGCAACACCTGAGGAGTCTTTAAACTACCCAAGCACCCAAGTCTTCCTTCCCCCTTTAACACCAAGAATATCTATTATTAACAAAATAGTTTACCACTTACTGCAGCACAAACTCTTTATTAACATCTCCAATTTTTTAAACTCAGGCTGTTAAAACTTTCCTTTTTTGATCTGTACCATGCAGCTGGGTGTGGGGTGTTCTTTTCAACAGCCGGCATTTTTTTTCATTTATCATGAATAATGATACCATACATCAACTAGCAATTCTAAGTTGTACCACACTAATATTCTTGACTCATCGTGTACCGTTATCTCCTCTAGCATACATAAGTTAGCGGGGAAAAAAAAAAAAATCTTATCACGACTCTTTCTTGTTCTTCTCTATAGCACTAAAGGAAACACCCACTGTTTAGTTACTATAGCACCAACTGCTCTTTACGTTTTTTTTAATCTCTATTCCCTGCCAAATGCATTTTCCTTCAATGGGTGGGGAGGAAGGGAAGAATAAAGGGAATGGGGAAAGAACTGAAAAATCTTACCTTGCTTTTAGCTAGTAAACGTGTAGTGTGACAATTCGTAATAATTGGTACCTCTTGCACAGCTTGTTCAATGAGATTATTTTCTTTAAATGAATATGCAAAACGCTTAGGGGGGTGTACTGGAGAGGTGAGCTGAAAATAGCAAGTGCTGGTGGTATGTTCAGGATGAGATTCCAATTCAAATTCACAGGCCCATGTAGGTAGCTGAGAAAACACAGCATTTCAAGTAAGACCCTGACACCACTTCTGTAGATTTTGCCTACTGTGTCCTTCAGAGGAAAAGATTTTGAATATCAAGCAAATTATCTCCAGCTTGGATGTAGCACAATCTGTATTTGTTTCAAATACAGTAATGAAACAGTCAAAAAGTGCAAAGACTTTGGCAGACTCTTCCCCTAAGACCATCAGATCAAGTTCAACAATGAAAGAAAAAATAAATCCAAATTCAGTTTAAAATGGGCATTAGTGCAGATTTTTTTTTAATGAAAACATTCTTTGAAATGATTCTGCATTGTTTTTATTTTTTAGATCCTATTTCCTCTCGAATTTCCAGTCCTACTTCAACATGTTATACAGCCAAGTCCATGTCAGTTGTTATGCTTTCGCTGTGAGTTAGCTCAGTAATGCTAAGCCCCTGAAAACCCCTGCCTCTTAACTTTCTTCCTAGTGCCAGCCATTGTGAAGAACAAAACCTTTTCCTGGCACATTCACCCTCAGACACTTACTGCTATTATATTTAAGACTTTTAACTCTGCTAAGAATAAAAGAAATCAAGATTCATTCTTTGAGAGCAGCAGGGACGTAGTCAAACCCTCTGCCAGGCCACTACTTACTCGGGCTAGCTTGCTAGAGACTTCTGAAATGGCAGCAAAAGTCCAAGTTCTCCAGAGTAACTGCAGTCCCTTTCTGAATAAATAAACTACTACAGCCATTTTCAAAAGTGAAGTTTTCAGAGACCATACACTATACTTTGTTGAAAACCTTTTTCTGTAACAGCCCTGTAGAATGCAGCATGGGTAGCTTGTTGCAATAAACTTGGGAGTAGTTCAGATTGTATTTTTCAGGCAAACAAATAAATTAAATATTTTGTCTGAATGATCTCTTGAAATCAGAGGTTTGAATTCAATCATTTTTAATCCACAAGTATTTAGCAACAACTCGAGATGGGAAGAAATACTTGCAGAAATTGTATTGCAATTATCAACTCTTCCCATTTGTTATGGGACAGCATCCATACTTGTCTTCTCAATGTTCTCATTTTTCTTCTAGGGGAGGGCCAGGCTAACTTCCTTGCTTACACCGATGAGTGTAAACAAAAATAGGCCCAGTGAAACTAAGTAGAGTGTTTAGGGAATCAAGCCCTAGTTTACAATACAGCTGATTTCTTATGTAAAGAGCCTGACTGTAGTAAATTGAAAGAAGAACTGACTCACAGATGAGTTGCTCTCCGAGTGCTGCCATCTGCCACCACATGAAATCCTGAACAGCCACAGGTAATACAATTAATCACAATGACAAACTTGGCAGTATTAGTTTCCAAACCACTTGGAATTTATCTGTGCTTTCATTACAATGTTATGTTAAAAAACAAAACAAAATACTATGCTATGTAAGCCAAGCTAAAACATACCTTTATTGACTGAACTGAACGAGAAACAAAAGAAAGCACATTTAAGTAAAGATGACCAGCAATCTTCAGGAACATAATGCAGTGATCACTAAACATCTCCAAGTCTACTAGCTTGGTTTTCTTTTCCAGTGCATAAACTAACTGCCAGTTCTCCATGCCACTGGAAGCTACTGGGGCCTTCATTAGCTATAAAAAAAAAAAAAAAACAAAAACAACCTTGCATTACTAAGAGTTACAAATGAGATGTACAGACATATAGATGATCTCATGCAACAGTTTTATTGCAAAAAGCTGTTAATTTGTATTGGGGGGGTTGCCTGACTAAAACTGGAGGTTTTAAACTCCCTTTACTTGAGCAAAATGAAAGAACAATTCAGTAACATTTGGAAAAGTAAGTTCAATTCTCATAGATTAATCTACAGAAGATTTTCACACAGTAAGTGCTTTCAGTGTGGCCAGCAGAACTGTAGGTGGTTTGGTTACACAGACTGAGATCACCAACTTAAAATTTAATATAGGAGAAATCATTGTTAAAAGCATATTCATTTCTTGATGTCACCAAAGGAGTTAGAATCAAATTGGCATGCTACAACTTAGCCTCCATGTACTACTATCAATCCTTCAATCCATGCAGCTCTCTGTGTAATTCTCTTAAATTATTTCAGTGAGCTGTGAAGCACAATTAAAAGCCAGTCTTACTACTTCTATATGATCTGCAACAGGTATCTGAAAGAATCCTACGAATCTTATTATCAGTCAAAATTACCTTATATTCTGCAGGTTCTCCATACGTAGTAAGAATATATAACTCATCCTTTCTGTGCTCAATGTGGTAAATGACCCCTTTTGTTCGTGCTTGTACAAGAACAGGTAACTTAGAAGGATGTCTACAGTCAACCAGCCAAACTTCTGAGGTTGTCTTGCTGTTGCTATTGATAGTGAGAAAACGTCTATCTTTTGTGCAATGTAAGTCCACAAAGAATCTGTAAGGAATAATTAAAAAAAAAAAAAGCTTAAATTTTCTTATTATTTTAAACATACATTGGTTGTTTCAGAATCACCTGCATGGTAAGAAACAGGATGCCTGGAAGTAGGCTGGAGAAATTCCAGACTACTTGGTTCCCAAACCCACTCCTGCTGCACTTATCCTGGGATTCAAAAACCCACAATCTTGTGTGTGGAACTGGAAATCTGCAAGGAAAGCAGGAGAGCAGTTCAGTTGTTGCCCAACTGAATCCATGTTTTTGCATCACTAAGATAGACTGGAAGCTCATTGATGAATATAGGCCATAAAGTTCAGGCAAAACGTAGAACTTTTTATTGAGCTCATAACCCTATTAAAAAAAAAAAAAAAAACAAACAATAATGGATAATTAAATTAAAATTAATGAAGGACATCATGTGGGAACAGCAATAACAAAAGAAAAGTAAAAGCTATTATAAATTGATAAAGTCTAAGTGTTCCTGACCTAACTTTGTCTGAAGCAAGTAAGACAAAAAAGACTAAAAAAAAAAAGTAGAGAGACCTATATGAGACAAGACAGACAGTGTTCCAGTGATAGAGCTAGAAACTAGGAACTGGTTTTGGAACCAAGACACTAGGAACTATCTACTGGTTTTAAATGCTTCTAAAATCTAGAAACAGAAAACAGAACAATAACCAGTGTCTGGATGCTAATACTAGACAAATTCAGGCTGAAATTCAGATTCAAATTTTTATGAGTCATCCTACTTAAATGTCATATTTTGGGAAATAGCAGTTTCTCTGCCATTTAAGACTGGATGTCTTTAATAGCAAAACTGTCCAACACAAAGATCCAGATTTCATCACAAAATTGCAGGGTTGCGTATGGTAAACTGCATTACACAGATCAGATCCGTCACTACAATACCGATCTCTCTAGACTTCAAAATACCTGACTGGTGAAGGAAAGGATGCTTTAAATAGTGTTTTCAGTGCCTTTAATTATTTGCAGGTGGAGGAACTCAAATTTTTTTGGTACTGTTGTTTTTTTCTAATTGTACCCTTTTGACATCTCTAGGAGGACAGGCACAGCAGGGCATCTAAAGTGTGCAAGGAATCAGCCTCCTGCCTCTCACGAATTTGGCAAGAGTGTGGCACTGCATTCAGTAGAGACTCCAGTAGTTCAGCTCTGCTGACCTTACCTCTAAGACAGTTAAGCTGAAATGCAGGTTACACTTCTCCCTAAGGACTCTGACCTTGATGTTAGATTTTTGTCTTGGTAGCTTTTTTTTTTAAGGAAGTCAAGAAATGTTCAGCTTCTAAAAAAATATATTTGATTGCACCTAGAAGGGCTGGTGAGACAAAGAACAGAACTGCTCAATGGCAATACAAAAGAATGTCTTACCATCTCCAGTGAACAAGTGAGTTCAGTTACAAGCTGCAATAGCACATGAACCTTTAGAGTAAGTTTCTAGATTTACTGTAATGACTATGACCTTCAGAATTATGCCAACAGTTTCCCTGTGGGGAAGTGTCAGGTCAGTGCAACTTGATTTTCCAAAAGTATGCATCAAATATGGCTGTAATAAAAGGATCTTATTTACTCCATCTCAATTACAGATTTCTTCCTAGTTTTTTTAGATGAAAGTATAATTGAAATTTCTTTACTGAATATGTAACTTGAATTAAGAATCACAAATGTTTATGGAATGCTGTATAAATCTGCCACATGCTGCATGGCTGAAAAACTAGTTCTGCACTCAATTTAGCAAGAGCCTTCTTGCCTTCCTAAACCACTGCATAAATAAAGGTTATTGAGAGGGTATTCAGTCAACAATAGTTCTATCTCTGGGAATGCTGTAATGATTTTCCTCATCCATTACCCAGAGCAAGGATTAGCCTGAACTTCTATGTTTTTAAAAAGATGTATCAGACATCAATAGCAGAGAAAACAAAATGAAATCCACAGTCTGATTTACCCTGTATGAAACTGTCATACATTCATTAAAGGACACCCTGACCTGAGAATGACCTTGACATTTATAAACTCAGCTGAACTCGTGAGGTAAGAGAGGAAAGTTAAATCTCTGTTGATCACCTATCAAGAGAACAGAGCACATTCTCAGACTTCATAAGGCACTACTGACAGCAGAACACAACTTAAAAATACCTTTTACCATTTGGAATATAATATGCAAGAATTTGCTTTCCAAACCAGTTATATTTTACATATAAAATACTCTACAGTATGTAAAGAACTTGTTAAATTTTAGGTAAGTATTACCTTGCATCTTGTTCTGTATAAACTAACTTAGTATGTTTCTGGTTAGTGAAACTGGTCATAAACACATTCTGGCACTTAAGGTTCTTCTGACTTGTGTAATACAGAACATCATTTGTAGCCCATTCTGGAAAAAAGACAAACGCGTATCAAATTTAGGAACAGTATATACAATTACTGAGAGAAAATGGAGCTCCATGAACACTGGACCCAATGCTGGAAAAGGTGGGTTGCAGCTGCCATGGAACTGAGGGCAGCACTTGTACATCCCAGAGGCTGGGGTAAGCCACAAAAAGATTTTTGTATGTTTCCTCTGAATCCCAGAGAACAAGAATTTCATAGTATTTTTAAAAATTAAAGGCAAAGGACAATGTTCCAGATCCCAGGAAGAGGAAGCTCCTGACCCTGTGGGGGTTCTGGAAGTAATGGGAAAATAGATGTGTGGCTGTTTAAAACTGAGCAGAGAAACGGAGGTTTACATGGAGTCAGCGAGATAATAGACTATGAGCTCTGGACCACTGCATGTGACTGCATGCAAACAATTTAGAGAAAAGAAGTGATGCATGTGCCCCATGGGTACTGCTGAGATAAAAATTCTCCAGTTTTCTGTGCTTGTATATATGTTCACCAACATCAGAAACATATAAATACAGGAACCTTGCTTTTCTGAAGCTTAGTAATCTGACTGATCCAGCCAAACTACTGTTATCTCTGTTGCTCCTACGGCCAACAGAATGATGTTTAACACATATGCTTTAAAAAGTCATTGTATGCTGTCCTATGCATAAATACTACACTTTCAGTACAAAACATGAGGAAGTACCACGTTGAAGTACTGCGAACAATTTTCTATCTGACCAGCAACATGGCTCCAAAGTGTACAGGTAGCTGAGGGTTCACTATGAAGACAAGTCTTTAGAAGAAAAATCCAAGTTCTTCTATAGCCTACCTAACATTTAAAAAACCATAGATGTAAATTTTCAAGAACTTTTACCTGTCTGCCTGATACTGCATTGCAAGTGGTCATAAGACCTAATTCTCCTGCTCATGACTGAAGTACCTCTGTACTTCATGATACCTCTATACTTCACTTACACCTGAGTAAGTTTACAAAATCTGTGTAATTTCAACCATTTGGATAGATATTTTTTGTACTTTTATTATCTGCCATAATCTGAGACACCTATGTAGGTAAGAGGGAGCTGGATTCTTAAACCCAGATAGATGTTCAAATCAAGTATAGTGAAAAATGTCACTGGCAAATTTGCAGGCCTGGTTTTCAACAGGCATTATAAACTTCAATTGTGCAAACACAACATTAAATTCTTCCTACTCTTCATTTTTGTAACTAGGAAATTTTATCTAGAGTTTTAATTTTTAGCCCTGATCAGGCAAATTGCTTACTGCACTATATATACTTGATGACAAGTAACAATACGATCCAAAACTCAAGATGTGGAACACTGTATACATGCTATTGCGCTCTTTAGGCTATATTCTTTACCATACTATAAAAAAAAAAAAAAAAAAAAAGAGAAAGATTTCCCTTCAGTTTACCTCTGCTTATTTTAGCATCAATGTAAAGCTCTGTAATCTATTCTGAGAGAATTGACTCAAGTCCTGACTGACTTCACTGGGCTCTGAAGTGTGACCCACATCCTAGAGTCCAGCTGAAATTCCAGCCAATAGTGAACAAACAGCACTTGCACACTTTTCAGCGAAGCTACGTGCCTACAGCTACCAGTGACTTCAGTTGCAGCTGTTAAGGGTTTAGTAACTGGAACATTACTCAAAAAGATCTTTATATTGTGAACAGTTACATGGGTAAATTTTTGAAGAAGTGTATTGAATTCAATAAAGAATAATCTGCATGACTGTTCAAACATGTACAACTGCTTACTTTTACAATGAAGGAAAACTTGTGTATCATGAAAGCAGTCACTTTCATCCACAACAGGTAACTTGTAATTGTGCAGTATGAAATAAATCGTAAATAAGAGACAATTCAACACCTATAAGCATTAAATCTAAAAATGTTGTTGTTTTTTTTTTTTAATATTTTAATATTATTTGTAAACTAACAAAAATGTTGTGTTGAAAGCTGGTGTGATCCACAGAATATTTATAAACAACTTACCAAAACTAAACACACTTGGAATTACTTTTTCCACAACAGGAAAACGGCCAAGTTTCATAATAACGCATGTTGCCTCTTCAGAATTGTCACTTTTTAAGCTGATGGCCATGTATTTCTCTTCTGGGGAAATTCTGATCCGTTGAATAAAGGCATCAGAAAAGCCAAGATCTTTGGTACTGAATAAAACGTCAACATTTCCTTCATCTACTACATAAGGAAAGAGATAGGAAAAAAAAATCACGTAAGTAAGGCACTGTCAAAATGAACAGTGATTGTTGATGCCTGTATTTAACAAGTCTGCCTGCAATATTCACAAGCATACTACTAGAATTTATTAACACCAAATGTCTGTCTTGCAAGATATTTGCAAATGCACTTTGTAAAAATAAACAAAGAGTTACAGTCCCAGGAAAAAAAGTCTTGTCGTTATTATGAAAAATATTTTAGAAGTATAGATCTTGGCTTCTGGTACATGTGTTACATTTTAAAAGTTCAGATACCTAAAGCACAGTTGCTTTTACTAAATACAATTAATAATTTTTTCACACACCCTCAGAAATAAAAAACCACAAATATGTTTTTCCTTTTTCAAAACGTTAAGGGCTCTGAAAAGACATGATTTCTCACTTTCCTCTCCAGAAACTTGCCTTAGTTCCAATATATACTATTCGCTAACTTTTTCACTTCACCTTTTCAGATTCTGGATTCTAGAATTATTAATCAATCATTAAAAAATTTTATAGAAGTATTTCTAGTTATTTTATGAAACAGAGCAATTCATCTTTAATGTAGGAAAAGTACACTAATACTCATACAACATTTTTAATAACCGTACCATGTTAGGAAAAGAAATCCCTTACCATCATCTGCTTTTGAAAGAAATATGCAGCCATTCTCTTCAAAGTACACATTCTCTCTGAATCTCATCTGTTCAATACAAACCAAACATGTTTCAAGTCCAACACAGAGTTACACTATTTCTTTAGAATCCCTCTATTCAATCGTTGTTCTGTGCAACACAATTGTAACATACACAAATGACAGAATATAGCATATATATTTGATACTGAAGAAGGAATTGCATGCATCAGAAAGGTTCTTTCAGAGTTAGGATACTTAAGCTACGTATACCTGCTCTAAATTTAACAAAAGGCTCCGATCACCTGCAACTGCTCTTATAACTTACAATGTCTTCTATTTTTTATCCAAAAGCCAGATGATTATTGTGTCTTTACTTGCTTTTGCCTATGGAGAAATTAAGGTAAATACACTATCATAGCTGGTATAAGCTGTTCTAAGCACAAGCTGTTACTATCCACAGTTATTAAAATAGTCAAAACTCAAAACTACTACCATAAGATAATCAGTTAACCAGCATTTATAGCAGGAATGGCTTCACTGCCTTTTATTTGTACTCCATGATGAGAAATGTATTTTTTGTCACTTACCCTTGGGCTCACCAAGTTCAACGTATACTTGTTGTGCAAGTCTTCTAATTTTTCCCTGATTTTTTTTGTCATAGCTTTGTATCTTGCTGAAATGTCATTCCAGTTTTCCTGCTCTGATTTCAGAAGATTCTTGTACAAAAGATCTGATGTTATTGTGGCTGTGTTTTGCTTCCTTTTGGAAGGGATTTCTGTTCCTTCCTGCTAAGTACGGAAAGACAACAATGGCTACAAGCCAGCATACTCTACTCCAGTATGAATATATTGAGGCAATAATGGTATTTCCTGAGCTACAGACCCAAAACCAATTTTGCATTATTACAACAGTACATGCCATTAAAAAGAAAAATCACAGTTGGAGTAAGTTTTTGTTTTCAATTCTTCCTGACATTTTAGGGAGTCACTGACAAATCTGCTTTACTTGACAATTTATTGAGGTCTTCTCTTCAAAATTTAGGGTATTATTAATGTATGCTCTTAATTCATTATATGTAAATATGTTTGTTCTTGTTCTACAACTAGGTTTTAGTTATTTTTTTTATGGAATTCTGATATTTTTCCTTCTTCAGAGGCGTTTTCTCACAATTTCCTGTATTAAGTGTATCACTCCTCATTTCCTTTCCTAGACAACAGTGCCGCCCACACCTCTGTCCCTGTACCTAGGAGTCCTAGTAGCTTGCTCAGGTTCTTGTTCCACCTCCTCAAAATCATTAGCATAGATGTTCCTAAGGCACAGACTGAAGTGAAACAGTAAACTGATATGCATTCTGCCACAATTTTATCAGGAATAAGCTTAAAGATCTGGTTTTCCACGATTCATGAGCAGACTACTGCTACCTCAGCGGCAACAAAGCTGTCTTCTAAAAATGTGCTAAAATTGCCAGAACAATGCTTCTTCTTTTTGCTTGCTCTAAAATCTCATTTAATTGAATAATAAGCTTAACAACATACACTACGCTACATAACACTGCACAGATCACATGAAGCAGCATTTTATAACATCCAATGTATTATGTGACTGTGTCTAAACTTAAAAAGCAACACATACTTTTTATCCCATCCTCACTTTGCATCAAGAACTACTGGTTTGTTCCTGGTTTGTCTTCAGAAATACATGAAATCTACAATGTTATGAGCAGACCCTGAAAGGAGGAGAAACTATCTGCTCCAGTTACCAAACTCCTTATGAACATAAACCACATCATTCATGAGAGCATAGGAGTGTTCATTACGGGTTCAGACCAACAGTCCCTCTAGCCTAGTATACCAAATCAGAAGCAAAAGTCAAAGAAACTGTGAAAGCCTGTAGAGAAGCTGTGTAATCGGTCAAGGTAAATAAATTGTGGATGTGTCAGTTGTACCACCCACTCCCCAGTCACTGAAAAAAATTCCCCAAACCAGAAGCAATCAACCAAAACCCCCATAGTAGCCACAAATGGATACTCAGGAAAGCGTAAGAATGGGACATGCACAGATGATACTCTCCAACAGGTATACCCCGACTTCAACTGTTAGCTCACGAATTTCCCAAGCTGAAAATGGTTTCTGGATATTTAAACTCTCTTTCACGTACATGTATCATCTTCCCTAGCACCTATGTAAAACTTTATCATCCACAACTTATTTTGGCAAGTTCCACACCTTATGAATCTTTTGATGATTCCTCTCCTTTTGTTTTCAAGGGTTCCCATTGTATTTATTTGGAAATATTATATAGAGCTGGTGGCTACAGTGTAGCTATATATTAGAGTTACTGTACAGCTCCCTGTCTGGGGAAAAAGCAGTCACCTAGAAGAGTATCTAGAAGCATTTTGATGACAGCAGAGGATCTTGGTGACAATCATCTGTTTGTATCCTGCCAGTGCAGTAGACCACCATTTGTAACTATGTTAGCAAACTGCCAATAAATAAACAGAAACACATGTTCTCATCCATCAAAACTTAGTATGTTCTCCTTGAAACATCTGTTTACATTTCAGACACAGACTTAGGAACTGTTTACATTATGGTTAGAAGTAAGAGGGTTACAACATGATGATCTTTGGGTCACCTTTGAATAAACACCATCAACTTGAAACAATTCTAAAACAACCACACATCCATCTGAAAACATGTTTAAGATAAAATAAACCAAAATACCAATCTTTTTAAACTGCATATAAACTGGTTTACGGGCTGTCATACTGCAATAAACTTTTATAATACCTTTAGCAAACTCAGAAACACAGGAGCAAACGACCTGAAACTATTTCAGACCATTTTCTGACTCCGTACATGATACGCTGCCACCCATTTACACATTATTTACTTACAGAAATAAATCCAAGTACCTTTTAAAGTACAGTTATTGTATATTGACAGCACCTGTGAATACAATTGTAAGAAGTCAACAGAATATGTGAATATTTAGTATGGTACAAACCATGACTTGCTGGTTGGTAAAGTCAAGGTTTTTTTGAGCCCACTCACAGTGGTTAAGTCTGGCGTCACCTGTTTGGGCACTATGCCTTTACACTAGCTGATCTCTCTCCTTGCAGTTTTCTCCTGACATTTTATCTGAACCCGTTTGGAAGATACCAATTTTTCTTAAAATTACCATACCAGGAAAATCAACCAAATGCAGCTGTACATCAAAACAGTATAGAAAACTTAAACAACTGGATACATCTTTGAACATAACTGAAATCCTAGTATTTACCCCGCTGCTTCAAACCCTTTAGGAAAAATGTGTTTCCTCAATGTATGGAAAACATGGGTGGCTTCCTTAGCAGATGTGCCAAGATGGCTGTTGACAGCAGATCCATACTTAAACAGCATACCTTGCAGGAAAAGAATCTCCACGGCAGGATGCTTCCAGGTGGCAAAGTCCTGTGTGTGCATGTACTTCCTGAAGAGTCCAGGATGCGGCTTTTTTGGGGTTTTATTTTACTATAGAGACATATTGCTTGATGACTGTTACGCTTAGAGTAGTATTTGACACTGGAGCTCAGCCCTTGGAGAAGATTTCGCAGTCCAACACACGACATCCTAACTTTCATTTCTTCAGAGCTTACTTGAAATTTCTGAACACCCCAAACTGATGATCATCTACACTGTATACGTGAAATATACATGATGTAAACTGCAGGTGAAAAGTCATCTGTTTCAAAGAAATTAGATTGATTCATTAGGTAAATCAGATGAAAAAGAAGAGTAAAACTTAAGCTGTTTCTTAACTCCTACACACTGATTAGTTTGCATATTGACCTGCTATGCTACTCCAAAACGTGGCTCCTGGCAGTTGAAAATTCAACTCTAGTGCAGCTATGAAGGTGCAACTGTGTATGATTAAATGCTGAAGAACCAAAAACCTGGACGATTTGGCGAAGTTCCCCCCCCCCCTTTTTAAGTATCATATAACAATAAAATCACGTTATCTCAACAGGGTAAATTAGCAGCAAGAGCTGAAGCCCCCTCGTAGGAAAACCGGCAGGTTTGCAGCTCTGCCGGGGCGGGGGGAAGGCCCCACGTGTTCCACCGCCCGTCTTCCCGTTTCCCCATCCCGCCCGGGCGAGGGCCAGAGAAGCCGGCCCGGCCCCGCTCCCCGCCAGCCCTGCCCCTCACCGCCGCGGCCGGGCCGTGCCGCGGCCGGGCCGCGCCCGCGCCAGGACTCGCCGCTGCCGCGCAGCGCCCGGCGGGGCTGCCCGGCACAAGATGGCAGGCGGGCTACTCCGGCCTCCCTCGCGGGCCTGCCCGGAGCCAAGATGGCGCCAGGGCGCTTCGGCCCGCCGCGGCGGGCCAGCACCGCTGATGTCAGCGCGGGGGCGCGGAGCCGCGGTGTTGGGGGGGAGCTGGCACTGGCCCTAGCGCGGCTCCCTCAAGTCGCTCCCGTTCCACACACAGCTTCGGCCCCGAGGCGAGCCGTTCTGAAGCGCGCTCCCGCCCCTCCGGTGTGCCTGAAGAGCCGGCAGCCCGTCTCTTCAACGCTGCCCTTAACAAAGATGGCCGCGCGCTTCCTCCCCCTCAAGCCCTAGCCCGGCCGGCCCCGGTAGCTGCTGGAGGCTCGGCGGCAAGTCCCTGCCGGCCGGGGCAGCGCTCCCGCTGCTCCCCGCCGCCGCATGGCCGAGGCCGCCGCCGCCTCTCCGAGCCGCCCCGCCACGGGCAGGTGCGGGGCGAGCGGCGCGGCAGCGGCCAGAGCCCGCTGGCGGCTGCTGGGACAGGTAGGGGGAGCCCGCGGGCGGGAGGGGCCGCCGGGATGGTGGGGCGGGCCGGCAGCGCAGCCCGAGGGGAGCGCGGCGGTGCCTGAACGGTGCTCCCGGCCCTTCAGGCGGCGACGCCTGGGGCCGGGGCGGTTTGTGGGTCCTTCCGCTTCGCCGCGCTGGGCGATCGCGCCCTGGGGGGCGGCGGGCGGTCGCGGCTGCGTGTGGCCGGGGGCGGGCAGGGCTCTGCCCCGGGCGGGGTGTCGGGGGCGGAGGGGAGTCCTGCCGGCGTGTGGAAAGGCGAGCTGAGGAGAGGAGAGCTGTCGGCACCCCTGTCAGGACGACTGCTAGCAGTAGTGTGCTGCGGTGTGGAAATGGGTTTGCGGTCCCCTTCCTGGAAAAATTATTAAGAATAAAAATTATATATATACACACACCCACTCCTCCACGCGCAGACACGGCTCTTTAAAGCGTGCCTTCAACAGATTTCCAAAAGCAAGTCTGTGGTCTTACAAGCAGCGCAACAGGACGAGGGCCACCACCCCCTTGGCACCCCACAGCCTGAGGGCAGTAGTCTGGGACTTTCAGGCTGTGGTTCAACAGCTCCATCCATGCTGCTAGAGTTGGGCATCATTGCTGCTACCCAATTCACACCCTTTGTCATCCTGCCCCCCTCCAAACTGCCTTTTGGGGCGAGCTGAGGTGAGACCCCACTCACCTGGCAGTGGAAAACTGCTTTACCTACATCTGCTGGCAGGTGTCTGGAGGAGGAAGAAGCAGCAAGTGGTTACACTTGTGCTCTAGGTGAATAGCAGCTCATAGGCTCTGGCCTTCCTTAATTTTTTGACCATTTAGGAGCAGTGCAAGGTTGGAAAGGATTCCTCTGCAAATGAGCATATGTGTAAAGGCTTAAAAACCTAAATCAGTTTCATTAGTTGTTACTGGATGTTATATATGTATGGCCCTAACTTAAATATTTAGTTTTGTGCAAATGGATGCCCGGAGCTGCCCATGGTGAGCCCTCCCCAAGAAGGCAGAGTGGTGGCAGCTGAGCTGAAAGGGGCACCTGGCTGCAATTGGATAGCAGAGTGGGAGGCATGGCGAGGTTAATATTGACCTTTTCTTTGCAAATTCCCTCGTCCTGTTCAACAGGACGAGCTTTTATTTTACAATACTCTAAAGCAAGAAATGTCAGAGTTATTGACAAGAATATCAGTTTCATCTTCGGAGGTTTCTGTTCTAGCAAACTATGTAGGTTGCACTCTGAAGCTATACTAGCTGTTATTTCTTTTCAATGTACTGCCTTTGGTATATACCTGTCTCTCTTAAAATCATAAGGAACTTTTCAAAACAATTGAATGGGGGCTTGGAGGGATGCATGTAGGTATTTGGGGAGAAGGCTTCCATTTTTTTCCTCAAGCTACAGGTATCTGTGACCTTTTCCTCCACAGATTCCCTGGGATTTTTTATGTTCTTTAGCTTTTATGTTGATTTTTATATGGTACAATGAGTAAGGATCAATTTAATCTTTCTGATATATCTGAAGTAAAAATCAGTTCTGGAGTCTACTACAGTGGTGCTCGGATCTATCTATGGATTGGGAGAAGGTATCAACCTTCCTTTATATCTGTCTCTAAAGGAGCACTGTCAAAGTGTTCCTCACAGTGCTTTTAAAAACACTTTTCGTACTGCTTGTAATAACACCTTACGTGAAATCAGTTCTGTGGTGTGTTTATATATTGAATTTGCTTTCATTCAATGCATACTCAAATTGATTTGCTATGGTAAGGATGCTTGAGTGCATGCTCACTGATTTAATTAGGAAAAAAGACCTTTTATCAGGTATCCTATAAAGCTTGCATAAAGAACCAGGGGTTTGCATAATTACCCATGTGTTCTTTATCAATAAAATGTCTTATGTATGTACTGAGTTTGAAGCTTGGCAATATTTTTAAACTTAGCTTGTCAGAATCAAGGAAAGTATTTTTTGCTTTAAAAAAAGCTAAGGTGAGTTACATGTGTAATGTGCATTTATAAATGACTGGAGTAAATTCTCTAAGGCTGTGCTTTGAGCTTTACCAGTTTATGCAATTGATGGCATTATCCAGTCTGTAGTTCTTACCAGAGAAGTTTGAGGAAGAGGCTTTCTATAGAAAGTTTAATGCAAACTGTAGTGAAATCTATAAGCTTTATATATTTACCCTGTCTGTTACCTTCTTCTTGCTCTTCTTCTCACAGAAGTCTTGCTCACCAGCTTCCAGAACTGATAAACAAAAGCCAAAGTTGACAGGGCAGTGGCTTTTTTTTTATTTTTGTTTTGTTTTTTCCTGAACAGAAGAACTTCTAAACCATTTTTTTTTTCTCTTCTTGCTCCTCTCTCTGTAAAGGGTGCCTGTGCTCCAGATCTTTTTCCATGATTCTGTTAGTCTTGAGTTTGTAAATTGTTTACAGTTGAATACAATAATTTGGTAAATAAACTATTTGTTAAATAAATAATGTATAGTCCTATTGATGATATTTAGAGATGGTGTAGCTATAGATTATGGTGTAGCTGATTATGTAGAAACTTTCTTGCGTGTACAAAATATCATGTTCCAGTCAGTGCCATAGAACTCCGCAGACATTTGTAGACCATTAGCTGTTCCTGAATTTGGCTGTCAGTGCAACAAGGCCATACACAAAGAAACACAGGGAATTTCAGGTGGCTGCCTTTCTCCATATTTTTTGTTGGCTGGTTGATTGTATTTTTAAGAGAGATCAAACATCATTAGGTTTTCTAAGGAGTCCTAAATATGGTCCTTATATTGTCATTAAATACCAAGGGCTCTGCAGTTGAGATCTGTGGTAATATTTTACTGGAATAATTCTAAAAGAGGAGATAGTTTGTTGATGCTTTTTTTTTTTTTTAAAATGTCTTCTGTCATAATGAAGAAAGAATTGCCTTAGAATTCTATGTTTCTAGGTGAAGTTAGAGAGGAAAGATAGCACAAGTTTGAGAGAGGGAAAACAGCAAGGTGAAAATGAGCTTTTGTTATTGTTGTTGTTCTTGGTGTTTTTTTCTTTTAAGAAACCTAATTTTTGGAAGAGAATCTTTCATTGCAGAACCTAAAATATTACTTATTTAGATAATATTTGTAGGTATGACCTGTGTACAAGCTTAACACTTGTGTACACCTGCAGAGATCTTGTGCCGAAGATAGGGTCTTTCAGTACCTAAAGAAGATCTTGAGGAGACTGAAACAAGGCTTCTGGATTTTTTCAAAATAAACATGTGCAAAGAAACTTTGATGAAAGTTACTGAGGGAGACAGAGGTCACCAGCCCCAGCCAAAGAACAGTGGTGTCTGGTGATTCCTTCCCCACCATAGTTCTTTCTCTTTGCCATCACCAAAACCAAGAATTGTGTCTATTCTGCTGAGAAGCCTTTAGCTTGCTTTGGCATTGGCTACTGGTTTTATGGGTCCCTGGGACATGTTCATTTATTATGGTGGTGTGGAGGAAGTTAGGGAGCTTCACCTATGTTGGAAGGGTATCATGAAGATAGAGAAAGCTATCTTTCAACATCTCCAAAATATTATTATGACTTTAAATAGGTTTATCATCTTTTTTTGTTTGTTTGTTTTTTGTTTTGTTTTTTTTTTTTTTTTTTTTTTGTCAGTGGATTATCCTATAGCAGCAACATATCTTTGTAGCCTGTAATGCAATTGTGATGCTTTTAAGAACTGACTTGAGTAAAAAAAAAAATTTTGATCCTTATGTAGAAATACAGAGTTAGATATGAAGAATGCAACATATTCTTCCTTTGTGTTGTTTTCTGTTATATTTAGTTTTTTTTAAAGATTTGACTGGCTGTTCTAATTTTCAGATCTTAAACCTCTTGATTTTAGTTGGAGCTGTGGGAGAAATTTTTGGGGGGCTTTTGGTATAGCTGCCAACCAGGCCCAAACCATGACACTCTCAAATGCTCATGAGGTTTTTCTGCTAACCCAGAGAAGGCATTTTACAGAGTCGCTAGAAGATATCTCTGTAGAATAAAAACCTGAAAAGTGTTGTCTCTACTGGCTTTTTTTTTCCTGTTAGTAATGGCTTGACTTTGCTTTAAAAAAAAACCCCACAAAACAACATGCTTTTCTGAAAATTAGATCTTGGTGGTTTTCTTTAGTTGTCAAGTTTGTCCTTTTTGTTTCTAGGCATGCTGCTATTATATGAAGGTCTTAATTCTGCTAGTCTTTTAATTTGGTTCTCCTGTTTTGCTATTTTTGTGATTTCTTTCATGTGTATATTTTTTTCATGTGTTACAGAATTAGAAGAAATAGTGTGGACAGCACAAAGCCATTTTTAATACTTTAATGAAAATGCCCGTGCCTTTCATATGCTGAGACCTGCCAATGAAAACAGATCCAAAAGCAATA